ACACCAGCTACTGTTACAGCCAACCAAGATGAGATGACAGAATCAGGATGTTATCAATCTGGGACTATAAGTAAAGCCTCAAACCCACACTATGGCTCAAGGACCGTTGTCTCCAGTCAGTGCCATCATCTGTACGAAGATACATCACCAAGCTCCTAAGATCTTTCGAGTTGTAGGCCTTAAAGTAACATCTCCCAAAACCAAACACAACACAGCTACTGTTACAGCCAACCAAGATAAGACAGAATCAGGTTGTTATCAGTCTGGGACTATAAGTGAAGCCTCAAACCCACACTATGGCTCAAGGACCGTTGTCTCCAGTCAGTGCCATCATCTGTACGAAGATACATCACCAAGATCCTAAGATCTTTCGAGTTGTAGGCCTTAAAGTAACGTCCCCCAAAACCAAAAACAACACAGCTACTGTTACAGCCAACCAAGATGAGATGACAGAATCAGGATGTTATCAATCTGGGACTATAAGTAAAGCCTCAAACCCACACTATCACTCAAGGACCATTCTCTCCAGTCAGTGCCATCATCTGTACAAAGAAACATCCCCCAAAACCAAAACCAACACCAGCTACTGTTACAGCCAACCAAGATGAGATGACAGAATCAGGATGTTATCAATCTGGGACTACAAGTAAAGCCTCAAACCCACACTATGACTCAAGGACCGTTGTCTCCAGTCAGTGCCATCATCTGTACGAGGATACATCACCAAGATCCTAAGATCTCTCGAGTTGTAAGCCTTAAAGGCCACCGGAAGTGATAAAAACAAGCACATTTATGTTAGTTTTACATAATAAACTGCAAAACCTTTAGGCAAAAGCCTTTAACACACTGAAATAGACGTTTGAAAAGTTAACTCACCAATTCTTGAATACTTAGCATCCAACTTTGAAAAGATTATTAGCTTTGAAAAGATTATGATAACAATTCCTTATGTATGTATGCCTTATTTCAATTCAATTATGTTTACTTTTGGTTTGTATAGAGGAGGAGGGCTTAGCATAAGCTAAATACGCTTTTTCCCTCCTCCTGCACCTGTTTTATTAATTATTAATTTATTATGTATGATTTTTATTGATGCTGTGCAAATAATAAACAAAATAAGCAGCCGCCCTAAAGATTCTCAACAATGTTTTTATCAACTTAAACTTGAAGAAGGTAATTTACCATTAGTAGTGAAGTGAAAAGGGTGAAAATGTAAGTAAAAAAGAATAACTGTAAAGCTTGAAATGCAATAATGACTTAATGTAGTCTTACTTTAGTCTTGTTTACCTAACAAAACAGTTTCCTAGTTTTCTATTTCATTACTATGCTGAGTTACGACGAATGCATTTGAAGTCGACTTAATGTATTTGTGCTCTTTATATTGTTTACAGGAATCAAAAACACAGGCATGTAAAAATGCTGAGGTGTTCTGTTGTTCAAAGAAGGGTCATATATTATATATATAACCCTATATTTAAAAGTCTCAGAACTTTTAAACAGATCATTAGGAACAGGACTTGATTTAGTTGATGTTTATGATGTTGTATTTACAAATTGTTTATGTACTGTGTATTTGTTGTGTGTATTTTTATGAATATCCAGGATTACCTGAAAAGCAGGCCAAAATGGCCTGAGCTGTAATTATTGGTTAAATAAATAAAGTAAATGTGAACGTTTTCACAAAAGATAAACTGATCTTGTACGACCAAATATCTGTTGTGAAGATTTCTAGTACAAGTTATCATTGTGACATATTATTGTCCTTTTCGTACTCATATCTTGTAAAATTCAACATCAAAATGTCTTCACCAAAAAGGTTCCAGATCTCTACTTAGATTTCTCCAACGACTGCTGTACATCACTTCCTCCTAACATAAAAACCAATCTGTCACCCAAAAAGTCGACATGACAAAGTATAGGAAAACCGAAAGGTCTGCTTCAGTACCAAGGACAGCTACCAACACACACAGAGCTAGGGGGGAGAGGGAGAGAGAGAGAGGAGGGAGGGGGAGAGAGGAGGGA